TCTCAAATTGTACAAGGTAAAGATACGATTTGTTATCAATGATGATTTCTGGTTTTGATATTGATTACTGTTCTTTGTCTTCTAACTATACGTAGGTTATTGAAGTAAGATTTTTTACTGCAAGTTCCAACAAAGATGATAATAATAATACAAAACCATACTTATGATAAATTTAAGGCTTTACTATATACAATATGAATAGGCGTACCCGTAGTTCTTGTCCAGATATCTGATCTTTAAATATCACTCTAAATGTAATAAACATTCGTTTGCTATTAATCTAGTATGCACAATTTCTTTAAAGAAAAACCCAGCTCAATATTTGAAAGCATTTAGATAAAATTGCGGAAAACCAAAAGGGATAGACTAACAGACAGACAAAGGGACATACGGATGAACTGACAGACGGATAGACAGACTCAAAGGAAACCTATAATCCTCTCCAATTTCATCGGTGGGGGATTACTTAATTAGTAAGAATTCAGAATTCAAGTACAGTGTAAAAAACAAATTTGCTATGGATATTCCTGAACGTGATCACTAATCCTGTTACAAGTTTGAAATGTGAAAGCCTTGACTCGAACCAACGAAAAAATTTTGGGTAATATTCCACAAAATATATTTTGTAAAATTTGCTTGTTATAAACGTGAATAATTTAATTTCCTATTATGAATCATTCTAAGGAACAAATAATATTTTGTATAACATAACTTGCCTACGTCACAATGAGTTACGTCAAAAACGTATTACTGCACTTGACGTTATTTTTGAAATAATGTTCAAATTGAAACCTTTTTCCGGAGGAAATATTGTCTCACTGAAATTAAAATTATAAGGAATGAAGCTTATTTCAACTTATGTTATCCGATATAACAAAACTTGGGACAGTTTACGCTTATCTATAAACCGCTTCGCGGTTTATTAAGCGTAAACTGCCCCAAGTTATGTTATTAAATATCCTAGGTATTAAATAAACTAACTAAGTGCATAGTTATGATGAGCAAAAGTGTCTTTTCCAAAATTTTATGGCTCCAGGGTCAAGGGTTCTGGTGTTGGGGTGGGGGGCTATATTGATTATATAGTGAAAGTACATGAATTCTTTGAAAATGATCTCTGCTCCTGGGTATTAAATAAACTAAGTGCATAGTTATAATCAGCAAGAGTGCCTCAACCAAAATTGTGAATTTTATGGCCCCAGGGTCAAGGGTTCTTGTGTTGGGAGGGGGGGGGGCTCTATTCATTATATAGTAAAAATACATGAAATCTTTGAAAAGTTTCTTCTCTCTCTTAGGGTATGAAGCAAATGAACTACCTATATAGTTATGATGAGCAATGGCCCTAATCTTGCAGAATTGTGAATTTCATGGACCCAGGGACAGTGTTCGGGGGAAGGGGTTATACTTATATACTGAAAATGGATTAATTGTTTGAAATCTGCTCTTTTGTATTTATAAAACAATTTTTTATTGTTTGATAGGCAATTTTAAGGGTGCCTTTTTAAAATTTTTGCAATGTGTGGACCTAGGGTCAGGGGTTCTTGTCACAGTGTAAGGAGCACTACTGCCTATTGCTGAATATTACTGATTAGTTGGAATGCATTTTTGTTACCCTACCTTATGTATGGGTATTCAGTAACCAAGCTAAGCAACTGCTAAGTGTATTGTTATGATGACCAACGGTGCCTCTTTAAAAATTGTGAATGCCATATAGCATCTGGCTTTAAACATGAATCAAATTCAATAAATGGAAAGTTGTTGCATAATGCTCAGGTGACCTATTAGGCCTGTGGGCCTCTTGTTGTTTTATCCTATCACATGTCACAATTTTTATCACATGATTAATTATCAATGTTGCCGCGATATTTGACTATTGTTTTGGTATTAAGTATAAATACAGAGGTTTGACGTGTAGCAGATACTTTTTTACCATTGAATTTTGGTGATCAGTTCCTACGTTTTGACGTCCTGTTTTATTTTTAAATTTAATTTTTTTTTTTATTTTTGTAAAGGATTAGGCTTTTATTTATTTTAATCATAGGGATAATAACTGGTGAAGTGCTTTAACTGTAGTTATTATTTACGTGATTATTTACTTGAGTATGATATTTTTCGGAAATAGAATGATGTTTGATTTGATTGAAATTCATTGAGATTTTAGTTTATTTTTGATTGGGAAATCTTTATAGATTGATTTGGAGAAAATTTAATAATTTCAAGTAAACCTTTGATTATTTTATTTCAGTCATATTTTTTCTGTTTAGAATTTTTGACAAAGGACTAAGTAAATATTAACCATACTTATATCAAGGCAGTAAATAAACTGTGATATGCACTGTGGTCTAGTTGTTTTATTTATACTTAGAGTAGGGATAACCATGTGAACAAAACAGTAATTTAATTGTATGTTCACTCTTGTAATTTTAAGAATCTGTAAACATATTTATTTCATATAGGTAACCGTAGTGAACAATTGATTAATTTAACTCCGTTCACAAATGGTGTTTATTAAATCCTGTTTACATTAAATAAAATGTTTCATTACGGATTATGTAAAGAGTTATTCTCCTTTATCCAGTCCCTTTATTTTGGGAGGTTTTTGAGTAGTTCTAGTGATACATAATTTTAATTCTGATTACATTAAATTGATTTAATTATGAATGAGTGTGATGTGTGAGAGAATATTTTATCTATCGTTTAATATATATAATTGTATGTTATTGAATAAATGAATTATATTTTTGAAACGTTAATTAATCTTGATTATATATTGAGTTCATGGATTTTGCACAGGTCTGATGGAATTGACATTGATTATATTGCGTACAATTTTTATATCTTACAAATTTAAAGAGCTGCTGTGCTACTCAAGAGCTTATTAGGTTAGCTATAATTTTCTGCTATCCCTGAGCATTACAATTATCAATAAGATAAAGTAGAAAATAGCAATTAAACCTCTTGTGCTTTCATACTCTGCTTCGATTCCATACATTTAAAATATGTCAACATAAAATTTTGACGTTTTTGTTAGAATTTATTGTTTACCGATCCTGTATATTTAGCAGTTGTACAAGTCATGTATACATCATTAATTATAAATAAGAGTTTATCGCTTAATCCACTTTTTTCTCATTCACAGGGCCATAATACAGTTGTAGTCCTACATGCTTACTTTTACTACGTCAAGGCCATCTGAAAGGTGACAACTGTGTCATCCTGTGCGTAAAGGAGACATATCGAATTGTCTCACCTCACGTGAAATGCCCTTAACTAATCAGATTCACTGTATAATTCTAAGAAAAAATAATAATAAAATTTATTTCAATACAGTTTTAATTAAGGACACTGCAAAAAGAAAAGAAAACAAATTCCGAGGTCAACCTTTTCAAAGGCTTAGTTCCATACATTTAATGACATTTTTTCATGCTTTATTGTAAATACAGTTTTTTAAAAGCAACATATAGTGGTTATACTTTTTTATAATATTTTTTATAATATTTTCAAGACATTTCATAATGGTGACTTATTTGGTTTTAGATTATTCATTCGTATTGCTTGTGTTTTGTGATTGTATATTATTGCTTTTTACATGGAAGAGAAATAATGAATTGAACATATTTTATTGACAAAGTCAAAAGGATCGGACACAAGTTCTGTAACTTAGATAGTCCTCTCCTAATAAAACATTATGAAAAATTGCCAAAGTAAAACAAACATATATACATATGGTCTACTATAAACATTGTATACATTGTAGCAATTAACAGAAATAATAATAAGAAATAATAATGAATGATATGGTAGAATTCTCCGAAAATTTTTCTATCTAACTTTTAAAGTCATCTTTAAAAAAGATAAAACCAAATTCTCATATGATTTTGTGTAATTATTCACGAGTTATTGAAGCTCAAATGACGATACCCCCTAAAAGGGAAAATCGAAAACTCTCAATATCTTCAATGTCCATCTTGTGCATCTGTCAGAGTCTTATTTCTCCTTTGCATGGAATTTCATCAGAATGTTAATCTTTCAAACCCTGGCTCTATTTAGCATAGGTAATCAAAAATAACCAAAACGTAACGAAAAAAAGTTAAACAGCGCGCGCATGCGCCAGTGAGAGGAATACAACAGTAAGTTGAGTGGCTCAAAAACCAAATTGCGGATTTTTTTCCTTTCAAATTTCGTATGAGTGTAATGATTATAATTGTGTACACTTATAAATGGCTGTTTTTGTGGTAGTAATGTGGCGATGTATGAGATGGCAGTACGAATAACCCGCAAGTAACATGGCTCTGTTTCGCGTTAACGTCATTGTCACGGTTGATTTAAATCCATTCCAGATCCTCTCTGACAACGGCTAAAAAAGTTTTATGGGAGTAAATTTACACGAGACTGCGTAGTAAACTGTTGTTGCGTTCTTCATTAATTAGGCAATTCGAAAACAAGACCCTATTAAACTTCCGTTAACTGTGCCAAGATTGCAATAAATTCATGACGTCTCTTAATATTAAAAACGATGTGCATACCTAATACATGTATGCATCAAATAATGCAACAAGATTTGTGGACAAAAACACGACATTATCAAATTGCCAACTTTTTGGGTCTTTTTAACATTTTCCCTACGTGACGTCATAAATTTTACTGTTGAGTAATTCTGAATACTGATTTTGATGCACAGTAACTAAATTTCCCATCTGACCAATTTTCGTAATTTTCGGTCATGTAGTCAAATTTTTATCGACAATTATGCTACCCTGCGTTTCTTTTTCCTTTCAGTATATATATCTTTTTTTCCTACGTTTCCATCGAATTCCTCTGTTCAGGGTTTGATAACTTGATTACATTGACGTCTGTACTATCTGGGGTGCTTAAATAATGACTAATTGTGGTCTTGCATAACGGCCCAAAGTTCTTGAACGATAAAATTTGTGTTGTCCTAGAATCCAATCAAAAGGTGGTGCACTTACAATTCGGCTGCATATGACCAAAAAAGAGGAAAGTTACTGAAGGTATCTATACACCATAACAGTATTACTACCATGTTGTCCCAGGTAAAGATTCCCTTCGTCGTCTGCATATACCCCATATGGATCATTGATTCCATTTGCATTTTTTGTTAAGATAATTAATGCAATATCTCCATTACTGCTAAGAAGATGAACACTGGGATTGGCGTAGTGACGATTGCAAACAATAATTTGCCCATAGATATTATTGCAAATTCCTGTAGGAAAGAATCCCTTTTCTGTGGAATGACCGTAATAACGAAATCGAAACACTCCTGAACCATCTACAACAGTAACAACACACTTCTCTATATCCGTTGTGCAAATATCTCTATTTGTATTTTCTGATATGAATAAGGGAAATGAGTATAAACTTTTTCCTTGGTGGTACTGTATAGATTGTAGAAGTTCTCTATTTTTACTGTATTTCAACAACTTTGCTTTAAAGTGGTTTTCATCGATAATATAAGTTCCAAGAATTAAGTCATCACTTATATGGGAAGAATAAATACTCAGCACATTCCATGCTGGTGTCAGAAAAGTTTTCGTCATTCCATCTGAAGAAACGCGGTGTATATCATTGTCTTTTATAAAAAAAAGATCTCCATTTACGTCAACGGTGTGGGATGCGCTTGCCCTGGTGTCATCAATGATGTAAGTGTCTAGTATACGACCCTTTAAATTAATTTTCATTACCTTTTTCTGTTACTTAACCAAGCTATTTCACCCGAAATACATGCAATATGGTTGATGCTGTAAGTATCAGTTAGAGTTATAGCAGAGTTTTGTTTCGGAAATAGTTGTATATATTCTTGCGCTCCTTCCTCTCGTGCATCTAGGAATAAAATATATGAAACAAAATGTGAATGGCGATTTATTGATAGTGTATTTTTCCACTGATGGTCCATGTGAAGATTCATATAATTTACATTAGTCAGATCAACTTCATTAACCTTATAAATAATTGGGCTTATAGAGGTCAAAGGGTTCACAATGTGATTCTACACCATAGCAAACGCAATATATTCTTCGTTATCAAACTTTTAGCGTTGCATATTGATTTCTTGAATTCTAATTGTACTGGGCATTCTCATAAGTATGTATATTGAATCAAGGTGGTAGAAGTTATAAAATGTACGAAGGGTACAAAAGGTTTGTAGACTAGTGCCATGAAATGAAATCAGCTTGAGGTACATGAATGATTTTAAGCTCACCTGATCCGAAGGCTCAAGTGAAATTTTCTAATTACATTTTGTCTATCGTCCGTTTGTCTGTCCGTCAGTCTGTAAACTTCTTACACTTTCGACTTCTTCTAAAAAATCACTGGGCCAATTTTAACCAAATTTGGTACAAAGAATCCTTTTGGTAAGGGGGGTTTAAATTGTAAAAATAAAGGGCCAGTTTCTCTTACAATAAATGGGGTCATTAAAAAATCGTCTTCTCAAGAACCAATGGGCCAGGAAAACTCAATCTTATTTGGGAGCATCCTTAGTTACATGTAGTGAAAATTCTGAATTGTTAGAATCATGACGCCCAGGGGTAGGGTTGGGCCACGATATGAAATCCAAGTTTAACAAAGAAATATATGGAAAAAATTTAAAAATCTTCTCTAGAACCACTTGGTTAGGAGAGCTGAAACTTAAAAGGAAGCATTTTAGGGTTGTGTATATTATAAAGTATTAAAATCGTGACAGGGTAGGGGGTAGGGGACCACAAAAGGTATAAAAAGAGGGAAAATCTGATAAAGAACTGCATCACCCAAGTTACTCAGGTAAGCGATGTGACCCATGGGATTCTTGTTTTTTACTTCGAATAAGCATTGTCTTTTCTATGTGTAGAATAATCAACAAATCGTTAGTTTTTTTATTATTCTACACATTGTTCACTTCGCAGGGGGAATAAGGAAGCATACAAAATATTCTACCTTGACTAAATCAGTGCTACATTATGACGTCATAGTAGGCGAGATGACGTCAATTTTAGAACTCAAGTTTTTTGTAATATTGGTATTTAGAAATGGAATTTAACTCTAGAAAATGTGTAGATACGCGTAAACATTAACAAAGATAAAATGTTCTTATTTCGTTATGATGTATTCTGTCATTTTGATTAAAATCCACCACCGATGACGTCATATGTGTACATCATGTAACTTGGTAATTGATCGGGAATTGATCATGTCGTGTAAAGAGAATTTGGCTATGACAGCATGAACAAAGATACGTAAAATGGAGTTTGAAATCAAATATCGTGAATATTTTGTGAAATTTATATGGAGTTCAGTTAATAAAACAGGTATGCTAATCTATATTTATTGATTATATTCTCTATCGAAGACAGTCAGCTATATACGTATCCCGGTTGGCCTTTCCTCTGTCATTTGTGACAAAAATAATGCAACAGAACAACAATAAGCTGTATATTTCAAAACATAAAATTTGTACAGATGGAAAGTTTGCATCCTATAATACTTGGAAAGTGCTGCTAGAATCCCGAGTTAAGCATGGTTTTACAAAAAATCTCGGTTCAAAGGTAAAAAATTCAAAACATCGGGTAAGGTTTCGTGCGAATGTGTGGAATAATTATTTTACTGACGGGACAATGGGATTCTAGCAGCACTTTTTAGACAAATTAGATGTTTTTCAACTACATTATTTACTCAAAGAAATTATTAAACTCCGGGATATTTTTGTTCTTTTCGCTTTTTTATTAAGGAAAATTTCGCTATTAATAGAAGTCACGTGATGCCGTGGTGGTGCTGCACGTCGTTGCGTTAGACACTCTTTATCTTTATGCAATAGATAAAAAGAGTTTACGCTTATCAGCGGTTTTGGTAAATTATCAAACTAAATTTTCTTTAAAAAGTCTGAATTTCCCGAAAAATTACTTATATGCTTCCTTAACATACCTGCGTTTGTTAACAATTTAATCAAGGAGGCGCAACCTCGAATATGACACATTTTCTACCTGAGTGCAACTGAGAAAAAACTAATTTGATATCATCCGAAATTAATTAATTTAAAATCATTAATTTATCCATTCGATATGATACAGTTGTTCCGTAGATTCCAAGAAATTTTCTCCTAAATTTTATATTTAGTGTCCAAATAACAAGTAGTTAAAATGACGTAAAAAAGAGGAGGATGTCATTTTCCAACATTTTATAACGTTTTACCTCAAGCATAAACCTCCTCAATGTTTGAACGGCCTACAGAGAAATAAAAATGCATCTAGGGGATTTTTTTAAAATTACAAAGCAGTTTCATTGAAAGAAGAGACTACAGTTTTTGTGACATATATATCATCTAAAGTCTGCCACCTCAAAAAATAACGTTGATCATGTGTGGTAGACATTGATCTCCGACAGGTAAATTTTGATGAAATAATCAAACGAGTATTTTTTCCCTATTTAGATCCGTTTAAAATATTAATGCGTTGAAATCAGCTATCCATGACATTGTACAGTGAAAAAACAACAACGAAAAGTTTCTATTTCATTATAAGAAATATTATTAGGATAAGTGTTTTGAGGCAAAGGGAGTGGAGATAGATAATGACGATGACAGTAATCATGAAACTTAACAACTACGGCGCCGTTTAATCATATTCTACCTTTTCTATTCAATGAGAATATAGTAACTTTTTCATGTATCAGGCTGATATTTTCAACATTTCTCTAACGTCTGCGTTTGATGTTCCTTATAATTTCATAATCATCGACTACATAGTAATGATACATTAAAAGTTTAAATATAAAGTTCAAACTTTATATAGTTATAGATAAGTTTATTAAACTTAAATGTAAACTTTGAATGTAACAGAATTAGTTTAATATCGCATAAGTCCACAAACCTTTTGATAACCCCTGCATGTTGTTTTTTACTTATTGACAAAAAAAAATATGCTTTTTATGTCAACACGTTATCGATTTATCATAAACTTACTCGAACCAAATTCATTTTTTCCACTTGTTTGGCTGTCTGCAAAAGAAATAGTTAATCTTTAATAATTGCAAATAATCAATATTTTCTACGTTTATCGACCAAATTAATCATACATGACAGATAAGTGTAAGTTATTAGTATCAATACCTTTCTTTTTAGTTTTGTTGACCCTTTTTCGAAAATGTACTTCTTCGTTTAGAGAATCGGTATTCATATTACTTAATTGACTAAGTTGGTCTGTTTCACTCCGTCCAGAATTTTCAGTAAATAATCCTAGCAAAACAAGATTGTTTAATTGGTGAATTAAAAGTAAAATTAATCTTTCTCAAATGCAAAACATACGTTGGTACCCAAAAGTAAGATCTTCTCAACAAAAAAAGACATACATTGTGAAATTTGAAGGCCGAAGCACAGCATGTTTAAAAGTTTTGGTTAAGTAAGTGAATCTTCAAGGTTAAGGGAGAAGATAAAAATTTTTGTATCTGAAGGAAGGTCTTGTCACGAAAATTACATATGCCAAAAATGAAGGCTCAAGCCATTATTGTTCTAAAGTTTTGATCAATGTTTATGTTTTTTTTTAAGTCGGTCAAACACAAAGGCAACAGATCAAAGTTTATGGTATCTAAAGGAAGATTTTTTAATAAGGATTTTGCAAATCTAGGTCAGAATCTAAAGGCAGGGTATAATTGAATGGTACCAAAGAAAAATTTGTCATAAGGAATATTCTTACGAAATATGTAAGCCATTCAACAATTAAATGTTATGTGCAGGTTTACTTTTTTGTGAACACACATTCAAATAACCAAACTAACAAATATATAGCAGGGTTTTTTTAGGTCTTAAAAACAAGGGATTGGGCCTTTTCATTTGGGAAAAAAGCGATATTTGGTTAAAATTGGGGAAGATTCATATTAAGCATTTTTCTTTATAAATTCAAATGAGGGTTTTTTTTTAATTTGCAAGGAATTTGTTTGAGTTATATTATATTCAGTCAATCAGTTTTTGGAGAATGCCTATAATATCTTTATGTGAAACAACATCTATACTTATGAATTAATAAATTTTGCAAATAAACTCCGAAATGGGTGCACAAGAGTCTTTACTTACCCCTCTAATACTACACTACATACAAAATGATGTCCATAAACTATATTTAGATTTCACTCGGATAGTAAGTATCGTACATAAAATTAATTAAAGTCTACTTCAATTTTCTGAAAACAGTCATGAAATAGCATCAACGTGAGTATTGTGGCGTTTCCGGTTGGCGGATCTAAGCTACTGACAAATTTTAATGAAACTGAAAACAAACAATCTATTATTTATTTCATAAAATGTTATCTCTGAATTATTCAATCAAAACTCGATTCAATTGATATAAAAGAAATAAGTTGTGGTAAACAACAAAAAAGAAAAAAGTGTAAAAACACCGATCTCAATATTGACGGAAGCTTCTAGAACATCACGTCCCTTTGCTACATTGTTTTAATCAAGAAATAATTATAAATATTGTAATAAACGGTTTATTTGATTAAATAGTTTATCTACAAATGATGTTATATAAATTAAAATACAATAAAAACAATAGTTTTGTAAAAACGAGCAAAATATACTTGGAATTTATCAGAAACATATTGCTGCCGGGAAAAACACCAATATCTATTGATACAAGGATTTTATAACTGGACAAATGGTACTAACCAACTAAGCGTTGGATAGTAAGATTATCCGATTTGAACTCATAGCAATACAGCATGCACAGCGAGGTATCGGAAACTGGTAACGAGTGAATGACATGAAAATATTTTATGTCCCCGTAAACGAAGGTTCGGGGGTATATGAGTTTTTTCTCGTGTCTGTCTGTCTCTCTGTTTGTCTGTTTGTCCGCAAAAACTTTAACCTTACCCATAACTTTTGATTAAGTGAAGCTATGACTTTCATATTTCATCCGTGTATTCATTGTGACAAAACCTTTCTTTGGGTACCACCAAATTTGATCTTGACCTTGGAGTTTGACCCACTTTTACATGAAAATGTTAAAATTTTACTTTGGCTATATCTGTTGAACAGTAGATACCAGGACTTTTTTACTTCACATATTTAATGTTTGTTAAAAGACCTTTCACTGGATACCAACAATCTTGACCCTTTGACCTTGACCTTGTAGATTTTTGTACTTGTGAAAAACTTTAATCTTGGCCATAACTTTTGAACAGTAAGAGATAGGGCATTTATACTTCATATATGTTATCCTTGTGAAAAGACCCTTCATTGGATATGAAGATCCTTGATCCTTTGACCTTGACCTTTGAGATTGACCTACTTTAAAAAAGCGAACTTGACCATAACTTTTGAAGACTTAGGGCTAGTTCCTTTCAAACTTTATATATTTGATCCTTATGACAAGACCTTTCATTTGATAACAACAACTTTGACCCTTTGACCTTGACCTTGGAGTCTGACCTACTTTTTAAGAAATTGAATGCCCCTGCTTGAAAAGCGGGAGGGTACATGTATTTATTTATCGGGATTTCCGTCCATCTGTTTGTTACGCTTTAGGTATATCCATCTCTTATCCGCAACTCCACTTAACCACTGAACGTAATTTTCATAGAAGTTTGATTACATATTGCCGTTGTGCACCATCTATTACGTTTTCTTCCTACACATATTTTAGGTTCCCGTTGCAAAACATGGACACTGCCATTATATTCATATTAGAGGGGGTTGATCATTTCTATAATTCACTGCTGATTTAGTAATAAATACGCATGTTTCCTAAAGTTTGTATTCATTAATGAATTCATTTAAACCAAGAAAATGTTCATGAAAAGTTTGAATAAATTCTGTGCACAGGTAAAAAAGAAATTGCTAAAAATTCTGGGACCGTCGGGTGTCGGGAAGACTAGATTTACCACTTGCTGTCAGTATGTAGAGTTGTCGTTCGTATCTCTTTCAGTGTGTGACGCTTCACTAAAAATAAGTGCCATAACGAAAAACTTTTGAGATTCTTTATAATTTAGTTTTTACTTTGAACGAAATCTATTATTCAAATAAGATTACGTTATCATCACATTTACTTACAATTCAAATTATGAAAACCATTAGATCAATTCAGGAGAAAATGACTTGAAATATTTGTGGTGGATGTTTATGCATGTTTTTTCTGTTGAATATCATCGGAGTAAATCGGCCGAAACAGTAGCCACTCTTTCAGCTCTATATAATCAACATAAATTACTGCGTATGTTAAATGCCTGATGACCATGGGAGATTGAACATAGTTGGACTCCAAAAAGAGGAACCGATGTGCACAATTTCATTGCTTGTATTATTTAAATTCATTAGAAATACTGCTCCATTTTTGTCGTCTTGGAGCCTTTGTCTGATAACGAAGGCTACCAAGTTTTCATTTAAATGGAATGAAGGTAGAGCTTTTTTTTTTAAAAAAGGTATTTAAGCATTCTGATATAGAGTTTTGTAATAAAGTACTCTGAAAATTTGAGCAAAATACATTGCAAAAATGAACAGGATATGAGGTCCCAAAGTTATCTAGAGAAACTAGAGGTACTGTGAGCAATGAGCTCACTAAATATATATATATATATATATATATATATATATATATATATATATATATTGTTTTACGGTAATGTGTAAAGAGGAATAACTCGTCATATCAAATGTTATCCAGAAGTTTCTATATGTGACGTCATAGGTAAACATATAATGGCAATGTGCATGTTTTGCTTTGGGAAACCTAAAATACGTGTCGAATAAAAAAATGAGTCTAGTAAGTCACAATGGCAATATTAAATAAAGATTCTCTGAAAGTTTCATTAAATTAAATCTATAGTTCATTATCAATTTAAAAAAAAATTGCATTTTTTACATTACTGATATTCTTCATTTAATTCACTTACCATTTCGCATTCTTATTGTACAACGTTAACACAATTAAGAAGGAGA